TCACTTTCTATGCATCCACCAGTGTTTGGACAGCCACTGAAGTACCTAAAGTGCTAAGACTGCAATGGGGACACATTACAGAGGGCTCCCAGGGCTGTCACACACGGTGGTGCAGGTGTGCCCTATGGTTAAATTTATAATAGCACTTATACACTGTTTTGTAAGTATTTTTATTTCTCTATCTCTGCCCTCAATACTCTAAGCAACATGAAGACAAAAGCTTTTTAGTTTAACTTTCTGTCCTCAGCACCTAGCACAGTGCTTGGCACACAGCATGTACCAAATAAAAACCCATAACATAATCGATAATCAACTTCTTAGCTCCTTGTGCTGTGTAAAGCCCTAGCAAAATAATCACCCATACCTTCAAGGAACTTGAAACATAATTGGGGAAGTTAAGTCAGACTTACATGATTAGATAACTGGAATATCAGGCAGTAAATACTAGTGTCAAATGAATGAGGTCAAAGCTGTGGACTGCCAATCAGAGAAGGGAGAAATTCTGAGGGCTAAGGTAGTCAGGGAAAGCTTCTGGGAGGAGGTGGGATTTGAACCAAGCCTTGCATTCTGGAGATGTTCCCAGTGATTTCATCACACGGGTGACACTGCTTCCGGGAGGCAGTGTGTGTAGTGGAAGGAGCCTGGGACTTGGCATTCATGCAGACTTAGGCTGCATCCTGCTTTTGCTATCCTCTTCCTGTGTTTTCCGGGTCCTTTCTGAACACAGGTTTTCTCATCTTTAGAGTATGGATTATAACCTCTACCATATAGAGTTGCTATGAAAATTAAGATGAACTAATGAATCTAAAAGAGACAAGTTTGATTCTCTGCACATGGCAGGAATTCCACAGAGCAGCTCTCATTTTAATTAAACTCCAGGATTAGATTTTTCAGTTCACTGACCAGATTCTTATCTATCGAAGCCTTTTCTGCAGCATCATGAGAAGTTGAAATCCACTTGAGTCCTCCCTCTGCCTTGAGCAAACTGCCCACAGGAACTGCCTCATGTCGTACAGGGATCCAGGAGGTCACAAGAGAAATAGACTTTCCACTTGATGCTTCTCGAAGGTCTGGTGGTAGTGCTATTTCTCACGAGACAGGTTTTAAAAGAGCTATCTTCCATGCTGATTTACTTGGTGCTATGTAGCACGGCCATATTGCTAAGTTTGGAGTGAATGATTTCATCGGTGAAAGTAGTTATTTTTGTTAATCTTGGAAATATCATAACATGTTCCCACAGCCCTTTACACCTCTCAAAATCAAGGTTCAGTTTTAGATCTTTTTGGCTTCCCAGCAATGTGGTATGTAGGATGGTTCTAACTTTCACACAAGGAAACCAAGGTTGAATGACTCACTCAGTGTCCCATAGTATAGTAGGGTCAGAACTGGGACTAGGATTTGAGTGTTCTGGGTCACAGCTCCAAACTTCTGGGCTAAGTTTAAAGTTCTCTTTGGCAGTGGTTACCAAGGATGCGGTAGTGGTCTGGGTGGTCCACCCCAGTGAGGAGTAGTCATTTTATCATTGTCATTGTTGAGAATTGGCACTACATAGCGATAGTAAAACACAGACTAAGTTTTCATCAGCATTATCACTGTTTTTTTTTTTAAAGATTTTATTTTTTTCCTTTTTCTCCCCAAGCCCCCCAGTACATAGTTGTATGTTCTTCGTTGTGGGTCCTTCTAGTTGTGGCATGTGGGATGCTGCCTCAGCGTGGTTTGATGAGCAGTGCCATGTCCGCGCCCAGGATTCGAACCAACGAAACACTGGGCCGCCTGCAGCAGAGTGCATGAACTTAACCACTCAGTCACGGAGCCAGCCCCGTGTTATCACTATTTTTAAATTATCTATAGCAATGCATCCCTTTAGTGACTGCACTGGAGGCTGATGGCTCCCACCACCTGCCCTGGATTATCTACTCTTTGGTAAAGAACTCTATCTAAACTGGTTTCACTAAAAAAAACGTTTCATTTGAAGAAGGGAATTTTGATTTCTAAGCAGAGGTGACTTGAGGCCAAAGAAAATGAGAGGGATGTATTTGTGGCTACAGGTATTGCCACTCTAACTTTTCTTGACTCAAGGAATCAAGAATTTACTGTGTATGGTAGATACTTACAGCAACATTAGTTACCATACTTAAAGTTCACAATGTGTAGACCTTGTAAAAGTGTGTTCTCTATGAGCTGAGTATTAGTATTTGAATTGTACAGGCAAAGCTGAAGCTGAGAGAGAGTCATTAATACGTCCGAGATCACAATTACTCAGTAGCCAGTGTAAGATTCTTCTGATTCCAGTGGCTGCATTCTTGTCACTATCTGCCCATCAATGTCTGAACAGCCACTAAAGCACTAAAATTGCTAATATTGCAAAGGAGACACATCACAGAGGGCTCCCATGCCACCAGTTGTGGAGCTTGAGCCCTGTATAAATGTGCCTGGCCAAGGAGGTCAGTAGGAGCTGAAAGAAGCCCAAGCGAGGCTTTTTCTAATTTGCACAGAGGTGCCTTGTGGGCAGGCAGTGACATGGGACCACTGGTGGTTCCAGATTCTGGCGTTCAAGCAGCCTGTTTCCTGTTGATTCTCTGAGCACTACTTGTCAATTTCTTGAAAGTGGCTCTGCCTGAAGAAAGTTTCCTGGCCCTTAGGTCCATTGTTTACGATCACCTCTGGCTAGTGTGAAATGCCCAGCTGTCCATGCCTCTGTCATGACTCTTATCTGGGACGTGATAGGCATTCCCTCAGAAGCTCATCATTGTGAAAATTAGATACTGAATCACTCATTAATCTATGTGGCAAATCCTGGGTCCTCCTCAATGGGTACAGCTACAATGAAAAGATTACTATGAAGGCCTTGGGTTTGAGCCAAGACAATCTGTCCTTCTGTTACTCTTTGGAAAATAGGACCAGGAAATTTTGCGAAGCCGCTTGGGAGTATGCCAGGGTTGGGGACTTCCTTTCAATTTGTATCAATCATAGTCACAATATCTTATAAATGTCTGTTGAGTGAATGACGTTTAAACGTTTCAGGTTAAATGTAATGACGTTTATTAAAGTATTTATCCCAATAACTCAGTACCAAGGGAATTATGTAGCTTTACTAGTATGAAAGCTTATCTATTACTTAATCTCTGTTAGTTTCAAGAGAAGAAAAATGACAGATCTGGGAGCAGGCAACCTCGGCTTCTATATTCCCCTCTCTGCCAAGCCTATTGGTGGGACATTGAGCAAGTCATTGCCACCTCAAGAATGCAGATAAAAGGGATGGACTCAGTGGTCTCTAAGTCCCTGTATGCTGGGGTGGTGGCTGCTCGTTTGACCAAGCAAATTCACACAGAAACACATTTCATCACATTTTAGAGCTGGAAGGGGGTTTAATTATCCTTCAGATCATACTCCTTATTTTACTATACTCTTCATAAAGAAGATAGGATAGATATTATTATCCTCATTTTACAAATTAAGATACTAAGACCCTGAGGGGGTGAATTACTTGCTCTAAACTGCACTGCACACTGAACTAGGTTATTAGGTCCAGTCTAGCCTTATCCGGTTTTCGGCTGCGTTGTTCTCAATGGAGACAGAAGAATATTTAGCTAGTGTGTGCTCAACTACAGGCCTTCAAAATGCTAATGGTGGTATACCGTCCTGTCCTTCCATTTTCCACAGATTGAGCACAGAACACTTCATGGAGACAAGCAGGGTAAAGGCAAGTCTGGTTCTTAGTAGAGAGAAAGAGTGTGCATTGACAAACATGGAAACCAGGCAGTTCTGCTTGTTCTAAGAACAAGTTTTTGGAGCCATCCCTGATGGCCTAGTGGTTAAAGTTTGGTACACTCTGCTTTGGTGGCCCAGGTTCTGTTCCTGGGCACAGAACCATGCCACTTGTCTGTCAGTTGCCTTGCTGTGGCAGTGGCTCACCTAGAAGAACCAGAAGGACTTACAGCTGGAATATACAACTACGCATTGGGGATTTGGGGAGAAACAAAAAAAAGAGAGGAAGATTGTCAATAGATGTTAGCTCAGGGCAAATCTTTTCACAGAAAAAAAAAAGAACAGGTTTCTGGGAGCCAGGAGTGCTGAGTGCCTGGGGTCAGGGTAGTGGAGTCAGAGCACAGTAAGTCATACTGATACTGCTGAGTTTGACCACAAACAGACAGTAACAAGAAGAACAAAATGTACATTTATTAAGTGTCTACAATGCACCAAGGATTGGATAGATATTGTTTCACTTAGGAAATGAAATTTCTGAAAATATAAGCTTAATAAATTAGTAATTTCAGAAAGAAGCTATAGAAAGGAAAAAAAAGAGTTATGGAGTCCGAGAGTAGAAGTAATGTCACATGGAAAACTGTGAAGTTCAGATGATAAGGACTGAAAGCCTGCTATGACAGGGGCCACCACAGCCACCTTGGGGCTACTGAGAGTCTCCTCTTTGAGTCACATTCAGGTCACCTGACTCTACCACAACCAACTGAAATAGAGAAATAGTTTTTCTTTTTAATTAAAAGGTGGACTTTAGGGTCTTACAAGGGATCTTGGCTCAACCATTTCCAAGTGGCTCTGCCACTTCCTACCAGGGAAATCTTCACTGAGTCTCTTAACCTCTTAGAGGCTCAGTGTTTTCATTGTAAAATGAGTTTTTTAAAAAATAAAGGTTAGTTATAATACATGTAAATTTCCTTGAATCATAGCAGCAGATTCTAGGCTTCTCAACAAGAGCTGAAGGAAGAGAAAGAGAAGAGCGGAAAGGAGGAGAAATCATTTCTTATATTTATTATGTTTCATTAATGTTATTATTCTTCAAGATATGGCTTAGGGTCCTTTTGTAAATGGCAAAATTAAAAAGCATTCTTCCACAGATTAACTGCTTGAGCTTCTCATTCCCTGAGCCTAGCTAATTAAAAAACACCATAATGTTCTAATTAGACCATTGACATTTCTTTGCAATAATGGCAAAGGGACTCAATAACCATGTTAAAGGACGCTTTACTATTACTCTGAAACGTAACTCCCTGTGGTTCAGATGTTAACACTAATTTGTAGAATTAGTTACATGGAGAACATGTTACATTTATGGGACAAATGGGGAATCTGAGATCCCTTTTCCAAATCACAGGGTCTGTCTCTCTCCGAGCATGTGGGAAGTGAAGCAAAGTGGCAGGACCATCCGACTTAACACATTCGGGGCATTTGGAACAACTGTGGGGAAAACAGGCTCCCTGGTCAATTTCACACTTCCGCTATACATTTCAAAAAACGAGGTGTGACTCTGCCACTGGATTTTGAGAAGACCTCGAGAGGGCTAAATGCCAGGTATTCTGTGAACTCCCTGCCTTAAAGGAGCTTTCTGTTTCCTGATATGTTTGCTGTGGGGAATCCCAATCTGCTCAGTTAAAGCAAGGGCTTTAAACTTCTTGAAGGATATTCCCTGCTGACTAAGGCTCTGGGTTTACCGGAGCTGCTGGCCTTTGTCATTCTGAGGGTAGGCATACTGGAGGGGCTCTGCACTCTAGAAAACCCAGGGAAATTTGCTAGAGAAGAAGGAAACTGACATCCACTGGGCGCCTGTTGTGTGCCCTCCTTTGGAGAGCCCTATGAAGTAAGAGCCATCATTGTCTGCCTTTGACAGACAAGGGAATCCAAGCTCAGAGGGGTTACCTGGTCCCTAGGCCTTGCTGCTTCTCCAACAGTACACCCCATCTGCTCTGAAATATCTTGGAAGTCTTGGCAGGGGGGAGGAAGGCCCTCTGGGTCCCCTGCTACTCCCCGCAGGCCCCTCGGCCGCCACCTCCTTGCTCCAGATTCCCCAGGTTTGTTTTCTCTGGCTCTCTCATTAATGAGTTCCACAGGACAATGCTAAGTCTAGTTATGCAGCCTTAATTGGTTTAGTTACAACAAGATAATTCCTTTTTTCTTCTCTTGGAGGCCTTTCTGTTTAAAGACATTTTAGCTGGAAGATGCTAATTATCAATGAGGAGAAAGTGACACCTGAAGAGTTCATTTTCCATCTTGGTCCTTGGTTTCTCCTTTGAACTCCCTCTCCCCAGCCCTCTTTCCCACTTCATCACTTCTCCCCCACCATCATAAAAGAGAGCTCTGTCCTGGCTGGGCGGCAGAACTTTCTTTCTCACTTGCCAGGGAGTCATTCTCTCTGCAGCTGTCTCGCAGGCATGGACAACCTGCGTGAGACCTTCCTCAGCCTTGAAGATGGCTTGGGCTCCTCTGATAGTCCTGGGCTGCTCTCCTCATGGAACTGGAAAGACAGGGCAGGGCCCTTTGAGTTGAACCAGGCCTCTCCCACTCAGAGCCTCTCTCCGGCTCCCTCCCTGGAGTCCTATTCTTCTTCTCCCTGTCCAGCCGTGGTCAGACTGCCCTGTGGGCATGGAGATGCCAACAATGGGGGCAGTGATGTCTGCAGCAGCCTTGGCACTGGTGGCCTGGTGGAGGTGGACTACAATATGTTAGCTTTCCAGCCTGCCTATCTGCAGGGCTCTGGTGGCCCTAAGGCCCAGAAGGGCACCAAAGTCAGGATGTCTGTCCAGCGGAGGCGGAAAGCCAGCGAGAGGGAGAAGCTCCGGATGCGGACCTTGGCAGATGCCCTGCACACCCTCCGGAATTACCTCCCACCTGTCTACAGTCAGAGGGGCCAGCCGCTCACCAAGATCCAGACGCTGAAGTACACCATCAAGTACATCGGAGAACTCACAGACCTCCTCAACAGTGGGAGGGAGCCTCGCTCCCAGAGTGCTTAAGCTCTGCCCCAGGAACTTGACTGGGGCAGCCCTCCGGGTGGGGGCAAAGGAGCTTCAAAGACCTGGACTAGCCTATGGAACAACAGCACGTAGTGGTTTTTATACAGCAAGTGTGCTTACCTTGTTGTCTGAAAAGTTCTAAGGGAATTCCCATTGGACTTGTTGGAACTACCAGAACACTTAACTGCCAGGCAAGCAGGTACTTTTGCTTCCAGTTTTCCCAACATTTCTCAGGAGACTTGCCCTTTGCAAAGAGACAGATTACTCTACCTTTCTCTGTCTGTTCAAGGTACTTAAAAGGGCTAATGGTTTTAAATGCAGTTTTTCAATAATGTAAAATTGTTGTAATTAATCTTCTGTTGTCATTTTGGCATTGGGAGTTTTTTGTTGCTAACTAAACCTGTATTTTGTACAGGATCCAGTGTGACACCTGGATTCTTGTTTAGAAAGATTTTTGTCCAGGAAAGGGCTATAGAGCTCTTGTTTTATTTTGTCGGTATGCTTCGGGGTGTGTACATGTGTGTGTGACTGAAATCATGCCTTTACTTGTGCAGGGACAAAAATCACTTAAATGCAGAAAGAATGAGTGTCATGGTAAATAGAAAGTCGCAGACAGACAGGCTACATTAAGACACATTGAAGAGTCTAAAGGCCAGCGCCTCCTCTCTTAAGTCAACAAAAAGAAAGCTCTATCCACTAAGTGTAGGGAATAAGGGGATGGAAGGAGGAGGAAGAAGGGAGGCCCCAGCACCACGGGATGTGGCTGAGCAGGGCTGGGAAGGCAGGAGCTCCCTGTGCCCTGGCTGGTCTGAATATGGCCTCACTGGATTCCTTCACTTACTCATTTCTCAAGTGAAGAGATTGGTTCAAAAAGAATAGGAGACTATTTTAATTCTATAGACAAGTGAAAAGGGTCAGAATTAGAACTCAGGTCTATTTAACCCCTCCACATGTGTTTATTTCTTCACCCACAACATCTTCCCCTCCTACCACCCCCAAATCACCCTACATGCACCCATACACACACCCCCCTCCTCTTCACTGTGCCTCATCTTAGGGTGGGTGACTGACTGTAGCACCCTCAGCTTGGCTAATTTGATGGCACATGGCACCAAACAGGGGGCTTTGAATTAAGGAGGTTCTCAAAAGCTAGCAGGCTTTTTTTAAGGCTGAGTCTTTCTCCCTCTGATTATTAACCATTGGTGTTTGTTTTTCAATGAATTGTCTGCTCATGACTGCATCACTTTTTTTTTCTATTGGTGGTTTTTCTTCTTTTTGGGACAAATTATAAAGGCAGTAGATGTGTTCACAGTTTAATGTATAACTTCTCCACTTTTTTCCCTTGCTGATACCAACATATACAAATAAACATAAGCAAATATACATTTTTTAAGAATATCTTTAATTCTACAAATCGCTTGTTTTTTCTACTTAGCAATATATACTAAAAGTCCTTCCAAGGTAGCACAAATAAATCTGTGATGTAAGTACCATTAGTACTTGATTATATTGATGAGGAAATTGAAGCACAGACTTGCCCTGAGTCACACATGTGAAAATCGTAGTGGAAAGTGGAGGCTCAAACAGTGTTCCATAGCACAGGGTGCATAGTTTGTTTAATGAATCACCTTTTGAATGATATTTAGGTTGTTTTCAGTTTTTCATTCCAAAAAATACTATAATAAACATCACGGACAACTAGCTTTTTATCCACTGATATTGCCATTAGCCTGAAAATTTCCCCAAAATGGGATTCCTGGTTCAGAGTGTACTCACATTTTAAATTTAAATAAATATTGTTAGATGACTTTTATAAAAGTTTGTAGTTATTTGCACTCGCCCTAACATCCTGTGGCAGAACCAGCGGCCCCACATTGCCAGTGGATATTATCAATCTTATGAAATTTTTAATGGATAAAAAATGGTTATGTCACTGTTGTGTTAATTTTAATTTCCCTCTGTACCATTGGAGCTGGCGCAACTTTTTTATTTTACGTGACTACTATTCATGTTGGTTCTTCTTCTATAACTTGTCAGTTTATACTCTTCGCCATTCTTCTTTAGGTTATTTATTTTCCTGTTAATAATTTGGGAGAGTTCTTTGCACATTATGTGTGTTGAAAATATTTCCTCCCAATCTACCATTTTGTTATTATGTTTGTTTATAGTGCATTATATTTATGATTTTGATGATGGTATCTTTCGCTCTTTGAAGCTTCTCACTTTTATATGATCAAATCTCTCCTTTTTTATTTTATAGCTTATGTGTTTCTTCCCTTAATTTTCCCCAGTTTCATGGCTATCTGAATGTTCTGATTTTTTTCAAATATGTCTATAATTACTGATATATGAATCTTCAATGTACCTGCAATTTATTTTTGTCCATAGGGCATAGAAGGAATCTAACTTTATTTATGATTAGTGTTTTTATAACTGACAAAGAAGTATATCTTGTCATCAGGGGGTGGTAGGTGATGGTGGGGCACAGTTGCTAAAGTGTCATCCTATGTAGGCAAACCTTCATCAACTCCTCATATATTTGTTGGTGGTGTTTCAGAGAAGAAACTAGAAAATGTTGGACAATATCAAGATTTTCTCCAAGGGACTCTACCCTGTGCATGTATACGTGTTCTTATGAGAGTGTATGTGTATGCACATGTATATGTTTCTGTTCCTCTGTGTGTGTGTGTGTGTGTTGTGTTTCATGCATTGGAGAAGGATTAGAGAGGAAGGTATTGTGGGGAGGGAGCTGTATAGGCTTTGATCAGCTTTTAGATCAACTGTTATTTTCCTTGCCATTTTTAAAAGATTGGGACCCAAATGCTCTTAGCTTTTGATTTTTTGAACTCAAACATTAAGAAATATTTGGTAAATAGCTTGGGTAATTTTGGTTGCCCTGGGGACCAAATACTGTGGATGGGTCTTGTTCTCACTTTCAAAAAACCCTGGAAAGCTACAGACTCACCTCCTAGCTGGGCTTGCACTCAGGGCTCCTAAGGTTCCCATTGGAAGGGAGGCATCTGGAAAACCAGGAGAAGATGACAGCTTCCTGGGAGGAGGCCTCTGGCCCAAGGCCTTGTCTCACAGACACCGCAGAGCTCAGCACCGCTCAGTCCTCCCCAGATTGCTGTGGGCAGCCCCGGGCCCTGACCAGGAGAGGCGGCTGTACATCAACACTTAACTCCCACTGCAGTCCCCGATGAGGTTGCTTCCTCTAAAGACGCATTTCAAAGCAATTGCTTTGGCAAAGCTCAAGAATAGGAATAATTTTTTTCCGGCGCTTATATAAGAAACCACAATTTGTGTGTGTCTAGTGTGTTGGGATCAGAATCTTATTTTTTATTTCACATAATCCCTTAACGACGCCAGGCTGTGGGCATTATCCATCCCATTTTCAGGATAAGGAAACAAAGATTTAGGACAGCTAAGCACTGCCAAGCCATGTGATAGCTAGTGGCACATGGCTGACCAGTTAGCTAGTGAGTTCAGCTCTAACTGCAAAGCTCAGGTCCCTTCTTGACATCTCTTCCAGGTCCTCTGAAGACACTGCTTGCACTGGGCTGGGCTTTCCCTCACTCCTGGGCCTTCTAGACCTTTTCTCTGCTTCCCCATTTCTGGGACCCTGATTTCTTTGACCATCTGAAGCATTTCAGAAGAGGGCATTCATCTCGTCCTCTAAATTATTTCCCTTTGAACTTCTGCCTCCACCCCAAACGTTTCTAAAATTCCTTTCACTTCCTTGCTGGCGCCTAGACACAGAGGAAAGCTGATTTCTGCTCATTTGTGTTCAATAAAGTGTTCCACAATTCACACCGGGCTGAGGTTTCTTTGTTCTTTTTGTGGTTTCTGCCACATTAGCTAATTGGGAAAGAGGCCAGCGCAGGGGTGGAGACATCCTCTGCCAACTGACAAGGCGACAGAATTACCCTTACGTTAAGGTATTTTTAAAAACAACAGCAAAAGAAGGTGCATACGTAAATGAGTTTGGTGGTGTTACTTTTGAGGTCCTATTACAGTGGCTTAGTATGTTCTGTGCTTGCACTGAGGTGTCATCTGATGCCCAGATGGTTTCTGTACACGCTCCAGGCTGCGGGAAGCCTGGCAACTTGAGCTTGGCACGCTCCTCTCATCCTCCCCTTGGGAACCTGCGAGGGCCTTACTCCTGCAAGTGAAATATTAAAGCTGAAGCTGTGCCTTTTAGAGCACCCAGAAGGACTTGATCTTGACATGTTGGTTCCAGAAAGTCCCTTGAACTCTGAGGAGGAAGAAAACAAAAAACTCCCCAGTTGCCTGGGGGGAAAAGTCAATTATTTGTTTCTTGGGTTTGGAAACTAATGACCCTCCCTCTGTTAGCAGAGTCTCCCAGTAAGATCTTCATATGAACTGTATTGACTCCGTTTCTCTTCATTAAGTGGAGGATGGGGCAGGGCTGCAGGTCAGGGGACCTGTAGGAGACAGGAAAATTTAGAAAGCACAGCCAGGGGCTGCTCCCAGCCCAGTCAGCAACAGTTGGGATTCATCTCAGGTGTCAGGCTCAGGGCCACAGGCTCTGTATACTTTTTCTCCTTTAATCTTTTTTTCTAAATTTTTAATTAATTTTTATTGAGTTCATAATAGTTTACATCATTGTGAAATTTCAGTTGTACGTTATTTCTTGTCTGTTACCACATAAGTGCTCCCCTTCAACCCCTGTGCCCACCCTCCACTGCCTTCTCTCCTTCAATCTTGACGGCTAACAGGAGATAGCAATTATTAGCCCATTTTGCAAATAAAGAAACAGGCCCTGAGAGGCCAGGTAACCTTGCCCAAGGTCACATAATTGGCACAGAGCCCAGGATGCCACCCAGGTCTGCTTGACTCAAGCCTTTGACAACACTAAGCTCTACGTGCCAGCAATGTAGCGGCAAACAAAAGGAACAACAGAAAAGTGCCTTCACCCAAGCCTTGCCCGGGAGTCTGTGCTCCCAGTTGAGGAAGCTCTGCAATTGTGATTTCATTGTCCAAACAACTTATTAGGATTTATATAGATCAGGGCATAAGTGATACCCTTTCTACGCTCATCCCACGTGGTATGAAGCATGATCATTCTCTCTCATAGAATGGAGTTCGAGAAATGTGTGGGAGCTTTGTGACAACTCTGGGACATTTGTATGCCTCCAAAGCTTATCATAAACTGGATTTCAGAAATATTGGTTCTTGGGGACTGCAGCTTGCATTTCCTTGCCTTCAGTTTCTTTTAGGCACAAAATGACAAAGCTAAAAATGGCAATAATAAAAAAATAGAAACAACAGCAACTAATATTTATTGTGTGCTTACTCTGGGCAAGGTACTGTGCTAAGTGTTTTACATGAAATAACTGTTTTAGCCTCTACGTAGTAAGAAATATCTACATTAACAACCCTGTGAAGTAAGTAGTAAAGTTGTCCCCATTTCATAGAGGAGACAACTGAGGTAGAGAAAGGTGAAAACTTGTCCATGATTGTGCAGGCTGGCAGCAGCAGACCCAGGATTCAAACCCCAGCAGCTGTGGGCACACCGGGCTCTTCCTGTTACACCAGGGGTGTCTGTAGAGCGTTTTAGCTATTAGGAAGCTATTAGGATACATTATCCTAGTTACTTCTTACCTATCCCTCACTGTAAATGAGGCTGAACAGGGCCTGTTACGTCCATTTTACAGATAAGGAGATTAAGGCTCATAATGACAAAATATTATAACTTTTAATAAATGACAGAGCTGGCGCCAGAATCTAAATTTTTAAACTCTTAATCGGGTATTTTCTGGCTAAACTATGCTGCCTCCTGAGAAAATCCAGTCGTACCCTAAGCCCTGCCCCCAAAGTCATTCTCATAAAGACAGAACCACAAAATGTGCTCTCTGGTACGTTTCTTCAAGGTGGGTTTTGCGTGGAACTGTAACTCACTCGATGGGCTCATCTCTTGGTGAGTATGGAGCCAAAAAGCACAACTGAGGCAGAAGTAGGTGAAAAAAAGGTTTATCACTTGCACAAGCGATGGGGAACACCTGGGATATTTCCTGAAAGCAGTGTCTCTCTGAGCTCAGTGCTTGTGGGGCCTTCATACACCAGAGAACAGAGGATAACAGGTTTATTTGTCACAACTGTGCTTAATCAGGGTGCATGTGTAGCAGGCAAACATGCTATTACATAATGAGTTTAAGGTAACTTTTGGACACTTGGAGCTGGAGCACTTTGCAGGGGTCTTGCTGCAAGTGTGTAAGTTTTGCTGCAAGATGGCAGCATCTGCAAAACCGGGACATCAACTTCCGAAAAACAGAACATATAGTTTTTTCTGGTCTGGAAAACATTTGACAGACCATGTTAGTTATTAATCAGATCCTCAGTAACCCTTTCTTTGTCTGGTTCCCTGGTCACAGAACCTGTCTAATTTTAATCTCATCAATGTGCACACACAAAACAACATCCATGTATAGGTAGGGTGATGAAAACCTAAACCCTTGAACAGAATTTTATTCCCCTTTGTAATTCAAGAATTCATACCCAAGACACCCCTATCATTATTTTCACTGCATGTCTGATTACTTCTTAGAAGCAAAAGCAGATGACATCTTAGTAATTTAAGTTCCAGGATATGAACAAACACCAAAACCCTGATATATTCTGGGGCAGCTGAGTCAGGCACTGGGCTGAGGACTCCGCCACTCGAACAGAGAGGAGAGAGATGCAGTGATGGCTGGAGCTGCCAGACCGGCAAAGAAGGACAGCGAAGGAGATGGGAGTCAGATTTCAGCCTGGCCCTTCCACTGTGCTGGAGAAAGGGGATGCGGAGATGAGATGCACGCACTCTGGTGAGAGAGAAAGACAAGTAAAGAGATGAAACGAGCCAGCGCTCCTTGCAGGATTCAGGGACGGTGTTACACAGGAGGAGCCTCTTGAGGTTGTTCTCTAGGTACTTGAGGGAGGCAAGGACATCCTAAACAGAAGGAACAGCATGTGCAAAAGCATGGAGGTCTGAAAAAGTGTTAGGGTTTGGGGGATCAGAAGTGGGTTGGTTTGGCTGAAGCACAGAGTTTGGAGGAAAAGAGAAAGGAGAATGGAATGGCAAGGAGGAGTGGGAGGCT